CGTACAAAGAGGTCGCGGGTGTTCGAAGTCATATCTTGACTTCCGACCGGGGATACCATGGTTCCTCCAATAGGGGCAGAATGTGGCGAATCGAGGTCGTCGAAAGGGTTGGTCGAGGTCGGTCGCTCAGGTCGGCCGGCGGAAGAGAATGAACTGGCAGAAGGAGACAGCGCCCGGTTTCTGAAGGGATTGTTGGAGCCCAAGGAAGGCGCATGCGCGTGTTGGACGACGGGGGCTGCGAAGAGGCAGAAATAAAGTTAGCATCAGAGAAAGTGAACGGGCGACCGGGGGAAGCACGGTCTGAAATAAGACCACATTCTTGACAAGACAGCAACATTCTGGCCCAGGGGAAGGGCCCCGCCGAAGGTGAAACGGCAGCGAGATGACGACTTAGGTGTGAGACACAACGAGGCAGAGGAGAAGAAACCGGAAATCAGCAAGATGACGCACCTGACGGGCCCAGCGTCACGCCGGGTGGGTAGGAATAGGTTGCGGAATACTGGGAGGCATTCATGGTTGCGAAAGTCCACGCAATGCGAGGTCGAGAGCAGGAACGGTCAAGGAAGTTGATTGGGGAATGGAGGAAAAAGACATCCAAAGATAAGGAGGTAAGTGGATGGAGGTGGATGATCAGGGGAGGGTCGAGAATGCGAGGACCAACGCCAAACTAGAGTAAGCTTAGGCGTTGCTGAAACAGCGATGCCGCGGCCGACGATTTAGGAGAGAATAATTGGAGGAGGGAATTAAAAAAGGAGCACAAGACGTAGGGTGTCCGTCCGTCTGGCGGTCCGTCAAGTCAAAGTCGAGGCCGAAGAAGAGGCCTTGCACAGAGGAATGTGAGAATCCTTAATCTCTTTATTTTTAAAATGCAGAAGTGATTGGCCCTGATTCTCGCCAGTGGCTGCTTTCTGCCTGATGAGAGGTGGTTGGTGGTTGAAGGTGCGTTTAAGTGGTCAAATTGTTCCAGTTGTGGAATTATTTAATTCCCGAATAAGGTGGGGGGGGCTTTAAGAGGAGCCTGGAGGGGTTGGAATAGGAGTCACAACAGGTGGGATGAAGAGGAGGATATAGGGGGGAGTAAAGTGAGAAAGGGAGAGAAGGTAGAGAAAGATGAGGAAGAAGAGAAGAGAAGAGAAGAGAGGGAGAGAAAAAAAGAGAGTTGGGGAGAAGAAGGAGAAGAAAGGAAAGACGGAGAGAAGGAAGCGGACGGAAGGGAAGGAAGGGAAGGGAAAGGGAAGCAGGATAGGTAGACAGTTAGAGTGACTCGAGTGAGCAACTCGGATGATGGTGCTGTCTGGTTACTTGCTACTGGTGCTGCTGCCCCTGGGGAAATATCCAGAGTCACGGCTAACTATAGTTTGGTCCGATGCATTAAACCACGGTTCATCCACTGAAAGGGGGCGGAGGAGGAGGGGAAGAAAAGAAAAAAAAAAGTGGAGTGAAGGCGAGAAGCTTTTGGCTTCGGTTATTGGGGGATTTTAATTTGACATGCAAAAAGGGGGGGCGAGAATTAGTAGTAGTGTACGGAGTACTCAGTATGTCAATAGTAAATCAGCTTGGTTACTGTGCAGTACTGAGTACATTCAGTATAAGAACAAGTGAGAGGAGGGGAGAGGGTAGAACACAAGCAAGATTCTCAGATATTGAATATGACTATCTAACTATGTAGTATGTATGCAGTGTACTGTGTATGTGTCTCACTGTCTTATCATTATGGATTGATCTTGATAATGTCTCTCTCTCCTTCCACCCTTCAGGGGCTAACCACTAACTAACTACTTACTGAAGGAGAACGTTCTCGCTCTCCACGGGTTGATTAGTGAGTGAGTGACCCCAGATCAATTTGAGCCACATCGGATCCTGCAAGCCAACAACTAGTGGGAGCTTCGCTCTTCACAACTACTACTACTACTACTACTACTACTACGATTGACTAACTTACTCCTGCTTATGAATACTATAGCATTGGCCATTGCGTCAACGCTTCCCTCGGGAATGTGGCCCTTCTTTATGCCCTTCCTTCAGCCTGTCTGCCCTCGATCAATCCGGATCGACAGAGCGATAGACACGCTGATGATGATCTTACCCCTGGCTGGCTATTGCCCACCACTTTCCTAATCAATAATGCCTACAATACCAACCGAATACAAAGTATATTCCATCATCCATCATCCATCATCGCATCATCGCTTCCTTCTCCGCCTCTTCGCATCATAGGGGCGATCATCTAATGCACCTCTTCTTCAGGGTCGGCCCTTCAATGACTCACCTTGGCGAAATCCCCCTCCATCCCATCTCAACCTTACATACATAGTTGGTAATTTCCCTTTCCCCAAAGGTGGGTTTTTTCTGGAGTCTGCCAAGTCACCCAGCAGATCGTCCCCCTGCACGAACCGCGCGGACGGGAACAGGGTCGGTCGGCTCATCACACGCGTGTTCCCGCGCAGAAAACTCCCCGGGCGTTCAGGCACACACGCACACCCACAATACACGCATGCCACGGAATGTTCCTGTGTTCCTGTCCTTCCACTTGAGTCCTTGGCAGGTAAGATACCTTATACTGCGTGCACTGCACATCAAGAAGGAAGGGAAGGGACTGCAGCCACCCACACGGTGGCTTTCATTCCCCCTTTGTCTTAGCCTTGATTGCAGAGAGGGAGACACCCTGATCAACTGTGACCAGATCAAAAAGACTCTGTGTGAGTATGTGTCCGCATCCGATGGTATGCTTCACTGTCAGTGCCGGTGACGTTTCCCCCTTGTCAAGTTCCAGGGACATGACATCGTCACATAACTACCGGTACTGAGTAACTAAACCGGGGGGGGGAAGCATATCGTCATGGGTCTCACTCACCTCGCCCAGATCCCCCGGGTTTCCTTTCAGCTCCACTATTCTTAGTGGCTGCTAACGTATGTCTTTGCTTACTTGCATGCCTTCTTTGCTTTTTCCTGTTGTCTTCTTGGGGGATTTTTCCTGATGTCATTTTTTGCTTTTTCTCACTTGCCCCAATTCGGATAAGGCTGGAATAAGATAAGGGCACCGGAACGGTCGGTTGCCTACTCGTGCTACACGGAAGCAACGGCTGTTTGATGCATCTTGTTGGGCAAACCGTTTCAGATTTGTATTCCTGCTGAGGTCCTACGGATCATAAAAATGTGTACATCAAGGTGGACCTCGAGTTGGTGAGTGGAATGAACGAGCAGGAAGGGCTGAAGATAAGCGGCCGGTCGAGTTGGAAAACGACATGGTGTTTGCTTAATTTAACTGGGCTATGTTGTCAGGAGGTTGTCAAGCAAGCTCTTTGCGCTCAGGTGTCATCTAGATGCATGGGCTGCTTGGTCGCTGCCTCGACTGCAGGAATGCAGGAGGACTGAGGTCGCTGGGTATTTTCGGTCTAGGCGTGAAATCAGGCTGGAGGAACTTGGAAGCACCCCTAGAGTCCGGGATGTGCACTTTAGAAGAGAAGCTTACAGATCATGCTCAGCGTCATGAGATGATGAGACATTACCATTTTTTTGGCCGAGTGGTGAGGCCGCTGATGTTCTTTTCATCCGTACAATCTGCTTACCGGGTGCAGACAGAAGCGATGATTCAAGAGGACTCTGATGCTTGTCTTTCCGGGCTTAGCAACCAGGGATGCCGGATTCTGATAGCAACTCATCACGTACCGACTAATAAGTCAATGCGGTTGATCACTATTTTTATGGGTGAGTTGGCTGCTGCATTGATAGACTCACTTCATTTCAACTCATCGTGACTTCCTTGCACAGCAGGGATGTCGACTGTCGCATCAATGGTGGACACCCGTTTGTCATCTTGTGGTATGGTCACTTGCCTGCCACAGAGGCTTAGTAGACATTAGTAGACATTAGTAGACATGTCATATGAGTGGAGTACAGTAGTGAGTTGATCTACGTCAATAGCCATCGCGTGCACACATTGAAGATGCACACGAAGACCACGACTTTGTGGCCTTCGAAGACAGCTCTCAATGAATCCAGAGCCTGACGGCCTCTGTCAGGCACCTTGCTCGAGGGCCCAGTCAAGCTCTTCAGCCATCCTGGTTAGCCACTCATGGCAGTGTAAGATCGTCCAACCTTCCCTCGGTCTGCTAGGACTGTCAAGGACGGCCAGGGGAGTCAAAGTGGCTGTGGGTGACCAGCTTCTTATCACGGCTGTTGGGAAGTAAACACGAAGACTCGGGCGGGGAATTGGTGCAGTCTGCTATCAATAGCAGTGCAGTCTGAGCATTGTCTCAGCCGGGCCTTAGCTTCATTCGTGTATCGGTCATGAAATAGGTTTGAAGGTAATGGTAGTGACTCAGATCTAGTGGAGCTTCACCGGTCTGGGGCGAAAAGCTAATGAATAGTTGGAACATGGCATGTGTGGCATGTGTGGATCAGAGTGCAGAGCAATTCAGAATGACTTAGATTGATATATCTCTATGACACTGTTGACATAGCTGTGGGCTTGATCTGGGTACTTGCCCACCTGTAGTTTAATACTCGCGTGTTAAGGCAAACTGTATCAGACAGGGCCTCTAGATCTTTCGCATCAGATAAAATCTCCAGGAGCGACCCTTTGCATTTCGGAGATTTCCGAAATGACTAGTCACATAGCAATGCTCCAGATTGATGGAAACGCCGACTTCTCCTGGAGTAGATTGGACTGTGCCTGAATCTACATCAGATTGACAGCTCGTCCAGGTTGGAGTGGGGGAAAGTGGGTCTGGCGTATAGCAATGGATGCTTGGCATCTTTTTTACCTTCCCGTGCCGCCAACGTCTGCCGCCCCCCAGCTCCGAATCAAGCTTGCATTGCACAGTTTCTCCCCTCCACCCTCAACCCATCCGGTCGACCAGCTTACGCTCTCTGATCACTACCATTGAACTCCGTGACACCTTTCTAATCTTACACCCTACACGCGGGCCGCATCCCAATCCCTCCAACGCATAACCATGGCCCAGCCACAACAACCACCCACCGACCCAACCAACCCGCAACAACCGCCTCCCCCAACCCTCACCAACCCACGCTTCACTCTCGAGCTCGAATTCGTCTCCTCTCTCGCCAATCCTTACTACCTCTCCCATCTGGCCGTCAACTACCCCAATCTCCTGGGGATCAGCCAGTCCACCGACGAGACGGACGCGACCGACACCAAAGACACCACGACCCCTCGCGACCCCGACGCCGCTGCGTTCGCCGCCTACCTGGCCTACCTCTACTCCTACTGGAAGACCCCGGAATATGCGCAGTTCCTGACACACCCGGGGGCTACGTTACGGGCGCTGCGGCTGCTGCAGGAGGCGAACTTCCGACGGGATGTGATCCGGCCGGATGTTGTCGAGGCGTTGGCGAGCAATGGACTGCAGGAGCAGGTAGTGGAAGGGGACAAACCTCAGGGCGAAGAGCAACAGCAGGATCAGTCAGAGCAGCAGGATGGTAAGGGGAGTTGAGGTTTCTGTGGGCGGGGCTTGGCAAGGGACACAACTAGTACCCTGAAATCATCTGCATGAGGATCGAGGAATAACAGGAGATTACTGGTGATTCGTGTGGGATAGGTACCACTCTTGAGAGAAACCTGGGAAGAATATAAGGGGCTCGCTCGCTCGGTATGTTCACACAACGGTGAATCGCGAACCATGGGTGCTGGGGTGTCATGTGTGACCGAGGTACATATAGTACAAGACGGTCGGTCGCACAGCCATGGCGGTTTTCTGGCTGGCTCGTGAGCCTGATTGATTTCCGGGGTGCTATCCGTCAAGAAGAAAGTGGCCAGTCAGGAAAGGCACTCCACATTTCGGCGACCAGACTTGAAAGTCTCAGAATTGGGACGATCGAGATCTGCTCCGGAATGCCGTGCTCGGTTCCATGCTAGCCGATGTCGCTGGGCTGTTCTTCGCGTGAGAAGATAGATCAGAAGGGGAATACCCTCATATCGAGAGATGTACGTATGACACTATGTGAAGTTAGTTCACAGTCTCTCTTTCCCGTGCTCGAACCAGAGGCTGGGGAACGGTGCCTGGGAAGCAGTCGATGACGTTGGCGTGGGGTTTGGTTGCAGGGGGAAAGAAACGAAAAGAACAGCATCACCAATTAATTGATCGGGTCGATGCGATGACATGCACACACGTGTTAGCTGTATTGTAAACAGTCAGTCAATAAAACATCTATTAGTTGCAATGATAACTCAGTCTAAGACGTATCTTGCTGTGAGATAGTCAATGCATGCATAATTAATGTACTGTACAGTATTCCGTACAGTCACGGCGGACGGGGCTGATTTTCCCGAACCTCTGGAGTGGATTCAATCACCTCCGCCGCCCGCCGCCCGCCGCGTCAACTAGTAATTTACTCTCTACCTTTGGCTACCTTTGAACTTATCGCCGTCTTTCCCAGTCCATCCGAGGGGTGGATTCTCTCGCTTCTGCCTCGCTTTTCTGCCAGCCCAACCACTCAGCCCTGGTCCTTGTTTTGGCTGCTGCTCACTCTTGCTCACTGTTCATTGTGTACTTCTAGCTTTTACTCATTTCGTTGGCGTTACCCCGCTTGTAATCCCCTTCTTTTCTGATCTTTCTCTCTCAGCCCTTCTAAGGTCCACGTTGACCGTTACCCGATCAAGGCTCTTACTAACCCAATTTTCCGCGAAACCTCCTGGATGGTCGATTCATAGACAAGCACACCTTGGCTAGTCTGTCTAGTCCTCCCTTTCCTGTGGTTTATCGCCCGATACTGCGACGGAATCTGCGCATCCCCCTTCCTTTCCTGGAATTCCTCATATACCGCGATTCGGGTACCCATTGCCGGAATATACACCAATGGAGGGCGTGCGCCAGTCATGCCGGCCGAAACACCAGGTCCTGGTGCTGAAATGCTATCCGCAATACCAGAAAGGGGTGCAGGAGGTCAAGCCCAACCCCAGTGAACTGTCGTATCTGCTCTACTATGCCAGCACTCGCCGCAGCAAGCTGACCAAGGTTGGCGCTTTCCTGGAGAAACGGGCCGCTCGCGATGTTTGGCGTCGCAAGACAGGGTAAGTTCGAGCGAAAATGAGTGACCATGTGCTTGGTGGATGTTACGTCTGCTGCAGCAGTATTGAAGAAGAGACTGATCTCGTGTAGCAATGTGCAGGTCACGCTCCAGATCCTTACGGCCCTTATCGAAAAAGTCCCCCGCGACCTCCCAATCTACGCCCGATCCGTCCTCACAATCCTGGAAACCGTGCTCCGCTCTCGTGATATCACAATCGTGGAGGACTCTATCGCCACCTTCGAAACCTTCTGCAGCCATCAGGATGTGGCAGCACTGACAGCGGAGCCCGATTTCGCAACCCAGTATCGCGAGGTGGTACGTACGTATGCGAGCTTTGCGGAGGTCGAGCCATCCTCTCAGGCCAATGCCCTCGCCCCGAGCCTACCCATGGCCTTACGGTGGAGGAACGCGGGATTGCGCGCGATTAAGGGCGTGGTCGGCTCCGAGACGGGCCTGGCGGCCGATGGCGGTGACTCGCTGAGAATTACATTGCCGATCGTACTTCAGAATTTGTGCAAAGGAGATGAGGATCTAGTCACCTCGCTCGAACATCTGCTTGAGCAGTCGGAAAAGGCAGACACCGAGCTCGCTCACAAACGGCGCGTTAGCACCGCGACCGTGCAGACAGTTGACACAGCCAATGGTGATCCGGTGTTGGCATCGCAGTCCGCAGCCGACGCAGACAAGAAGGCCGAGCTGGATGTTCGGCTTCTCGCTCTTCGCTGTCTCGAGCGCATTGTTGTTAGTGGAAGCAGCCGCGGCCAGATTCGAGTCACTACTCAAATTGCGCTGGAGTTTATTCTTCGGAAGATCCCAACTGGCAACACGAGCTTCGCACTGGACACCAGGGAGAACTGGGCTACCTCGCTGGTGGAAATCATAGCCAAGTGGTGTCCTGTTCAAGTCCGGTTCATTATCCCAGTCACTATGATGCAGATTTTAATGGACATGAAACTTAGCGACGAGACTTTGGACGAACCATTTGTTGTCATCTTCATGATTGACTGGTTGCTAAAATCCCCGGTCAACATGATTGGCTTGAGTGTTATTGATATCCTGTTGGGTCTTCTACAGCATATGTCGTTCTTACTGTCTTCTCCCGGAGGGGAAAAGGTGGTGGAGCCGTCCGGCAAAAGGAGGGAGCAGCTCTCTCTCCTTGAGAAGTGCATCGGAGACCTCGCCACTCACATATATTATGGCGATCAAGTTGTTGACATGATCAGAGCCATCTTGACTCGCGTCAAACCTGTAATCTCTCATGACCAGCCACCAAACTCATCTCAGATCGATTCTCCCGGTGCGCGCTCTCAGGCGCCAAGTGTTTCGGGCGACAGCAACTACGTTGCCTTTGCATCTGGTTTTGCTAAGACCACAGCTCTCCGGGCCATCAAGAACATCTTACTGGTGGCGAATTCCCGGAAAGCTGCGGCCGCAGCTGGCGCCGAAACGAGGAACAAAGTGGGCATTCATGTCTGGGAGGGGACGCAGTGGCTGTTACAGGAGTCCCAGAACGAGGTTCGTTATGCGTACGCAGACGCATTCCTGACCTGGCTCAAGTTGGAGACCAATCAGCAAGATCTGTTGGTGAACGACAAGTCCGGCAAGACCCACAATCTGAGACGAGAGATGTCTGACATCGAGAAGAGCGGCAAACGGACCGCTTCTATGGGTGTGAATCAGAGGGAGAAGTCCATTCTAGTGGCCCAGCACAATTTCCTCCGGCTGCTACATTTGGTCGTTTATGACATCGCGTTTGAATCTTTTGCACAGGTTGCTGAGATGCGGCTTTTGCACCTTCTGCTGGCAAGCCTTGTCAATCACTTGGGAGTGAATGCCATTCGCTTCGGGCTTTCTATGTCCTTGAAGCTCCAAGAAGATGTGGGCACTGTCGAATCTCTGCAGTCAGTCACTGCGAAGGTGAACATTGGTAGTCTGGTGTATGGATATCTTTGGGCGGTGTCGGAGAAGTTCGACTTGGAAACCACTAAAGTGGGCAGGGATATACAGAACGAAATCGTCAAGAGGCAGAAGCTTGGTCTCTGGCTTGATCACATTCGCCTACCCCCAGCAAGTCTGGAGACTATCCTCCAAGGCAGTAACAATGCCGCTAACTACGCAGGGGATGTCAACCAGCTTACACCCTTCGGTGAGGCGGAAGAGCTCGTTCGTTGTATCGAGGACTCGTACAACTTCTCTGTGCAGAATGCAGCCAGCAGCCCTCCTTCGTCTCCAGGGCGTGCCCCAACTTTGCCAGTGCTGGGACAAGGGTCGGGTCTCCAGGGCATTCCACAGAGACAGCTCCTTTCTTCCACAGCTCGCGAGCAAATGTTATCGGCTTGGACTCGCGAACTGTGCCTGGCCGCTGCCGAGCGAGAGAAGGCAGAATTCATGTCTATGAATGGATCAAGAGCCGGAACGCTGGCGATTCGCAATCATTTCAACGTGAACCCGACAGAGAGCAGCCCTCCCTCCACCACATCTCCCAAATCCGGCCAGCAAGTTGCAGCTGGTCTGCACAACTCTCGTCGGATGAGCATTCCGGAATCTGCTCGGGTCCGGGCTCACAGTTCCAGCCGGGAGTCTCCGGTGCATGTCAATGATTTGAGACGCGTGCTTTCGATCAATGATCAGGAGAAGCTCCGGCGCCTCAGCCCCCTCAGAGGCCGACTTGATACCTCCAACCGCAGCGTTGTCTCGTCGAGCAGTGAGAGCATGGTCAGCGGCTATTCTTTGTCGGAATTCGACGCAGATGGCATCTCAATCCGCCATCAATCGCGCGACGGCCAGGACGGAGACACGGTGACTCCGAAAGCATCAACATCTTCTTTTGCGGGCTCGCAGATGTACTATATGGCTCACGAGGATATTCCTCCTGTGCCTCCGATTCCGCCCTCTCTGACCGTTACGGGAAACCTCGCCAGCGAGTCGCAACGTTCGTTAGCTTCCGACCGACCCTCGACTGCTCCCGGGCCGCGTGGACAAGCTGCTGTGAACGGGAAGGCCGTTACGCCCGCCTTGCCTCACCATGGCAAAGGCCTCAGCAAGCACAAGAGTCGATCGAGCACCGGTCTGGCGGCACAAGCTGCTGACGGCGACGCTCTTTCGAGTTCCGACCCGCGCCGCGAGGTGACCAAACTTCTGGAGGGGTTCCTCTCGCCCGCTCATGCTGAATTGAGGCCAGGAGGTGCAAGGGCTCGTGGAGGTCTTGGTCGACGGGGCATCAGCGGAGGAATCGGACGTCCCCCGTATTAGTTTTTTCATGTCAATCGTTTTTATTTTTGTTTGTCTCATGATTGCGGGGCTTGAATATACCATCCTACCTGTTACTTTCATTGTTATATTTTCCTATGTTGTATTTGATGTATAGAGGGAGGAGTGCTGTACTGAGTACAAGAACTAATTCGTGTGCATTGGATAGAGAGACTTAATGTATAGGTGTGCGGGAATTCTCACAGGCTCGCAGAGTAAACTTTTGTCCTATTGACATACAGAGAGTAGTCATAAGAGTACTGTGCATGCTGTAAGTCTACAACGTCCAGTACAGTAGGGATGGGCTCCACTTTCCCCAGATTCTCTCCTCAGGAACCAAATTAGCGCCGCGGGACCAGCCACCGCCTTACGTCAAAAGCCCAAGCGAAGCGCGTCGCAACCTCAACCTCGACCTGCAATCACCGCAACTTCCTTTCCTTCCCTGTATCCTCCTTCCACTCTCATCATCATCAATCTGGTTCTCTTCCCCTCAATCTTTGAAGACTAGAAGGAAGAAGCACCAAAATGCATCTCCTGCCAACCCTCCTCCCTCTCCTCCCCCTTCTCCTCCCCCAAGCCCTCACCTCCCCAACGCCTCAACCCAGGACCACCCCAAAAGACCTGACCCCCCTCCCCCTCATCATCTGGCACGGCCTCGGCGACACCTACACCAACCCCTCCCTCACCGCCCTGACGGAGGTGGTCACCCGAATCCACGAAGGCACCTACACGCACCTCATCCACCTGGGCGACGACGCCGCCACCGACCGCCGCAACACCTTCCTGGGCAATCTCACGACCCAGATCGCCGACGTCTGCGCCCAGCTCGCCGCGGACCCGATCCTGTCCACCGCCCCCGCCGTCAACGCCATCGGCTTCTCCCAGGGCGGCCAGTTCCTGCGCGCCTACGTCGAGCGCTGCAACGCGCCGCCCGTCCGCACCCTCATCACCTTCGGGAGCCAGCATAACGGGATCACCAAGTTCCAGGCGTGTCGGTGGGGGGATCTGGTGTGTTTGGGCGCCGAGGCGTTGCTGCATGCTGGGCGGTGGAGTGGGGTTGTGCAGGGGGGTTTCGTGCCGGGGCAGTATTTTCGGCCGCAGGCGGGTGTTGGGAAGGGGTCTGGGGTTGGCGGTGGGGGCGGAGTGGGTTATGAGGGGTTTGAGGGGGAGGGGGAGGGGGATGGGGATGCGCAACTTGGGGCTGCTCGGCAGCAGCAGCAGCAGCAGCAATCGGAGATGGAGCTCTACCTCCAGCACAGCAATTTCCTGGCGGATGTGAATAATGAGCGCGAGGTCAAGAATGAGACGTATAAGGAGAATTTGAGCACGCTGGAAAAGTTTGTGATGCTTATGTTTGAGGAGGATGGGGTGGTGCATCCGAAGGAGTCTGCGTGGTTTGCCGGGGTGGATGCTGATGGCGTGGTGGTTGGGTTGAGGGATAGGCAGATCTACAAGGAGGATTGGATTGGGTTGCGGGAGTTGGATGAGAAGGGCGCCTTGGTGTTTCGGACTGTGCCTGGGAGGCATATGGAGATTGGGGAGGAGGTGTTTGAGGAGGTGGTCAGGGAGTTCTTGGGGCCGGTTGAGGTTGAGGTCGAGGGAGGTCGGGATGCTGATAAGAGTGTGGGAAGGCCGGGGTTGGTTGTGCAGGGTGCGTTCTAGATTTGCGATGCTCCGGGCTGGCCTGCAGGTATATACGTTGTGGTGATTTTGAAGTATGCTTCGTCATTGCTTTTAGATGATATTTATGATTAGGATGTATCCACACTATCTCCAGTTTACTGACTACGGACTGCTAATGATGAAACGAGCAACTGAGGGCCTTCGTCATCCTCATCCGTCAAAGCACGAAGCCAGACGTATGGACTGGTTGTCTGTGTCGAGTGGTCGGGCCAGTCGCTCTCCAGGGCAAGGTAGACTCTCGGTAGTCCACGGTAGGCTTGGGTTCTAGTCTGGGATTAGTGAATCTAAAATGGCCCGGACTTAGAGCAGCTTCCGATGTTGAAGATTTCTGTGGCGTGCCGACGCTGGGTGGATTGTAAGATAATAGTCCTTTCGCCATATCCATTGAACCCCATGCTGGAGCTTGTGTCGGTCGGCAATGAGACTCCCATTCGGGCGGCACGGGTTGCCCATATACCTTCAGCGATGGATCCTGCCTTGCATTTCTGCAGCTTGTGGTAGGTCTTGCTCGTGATCTGGAACTCGTCGTGTCAGTTTTGTGTCTTTCTTTCTCCAGTCGGAGACGTGGTCCTGGGAGCCAGGCATATTCATGGAGAGGCGGAGTCGTAGCTGACAGATGGTCCAGTCTCCGCCCATCTGACTCGACCGACAGCGGTGACCGGGCTCTGGTGTTCAATCTGTCCTTGTTGTACTGATCCTGAGGCATGCTTCCACCTCTGTGAGTCCACGGCAGTGTTAACATACCCTCTCGTTCAGCGTCAATCTGATCATCGATTGTGAACCGTCGCCGGACTAGTAATTCCCGATTGGGACTCGTACTCCGACTCGAGTATCGTTGCAAGTCCTTCTGTTCAAGTAGATCTTGCTCGAGTACAATCTTCGATATGATACGTGGGGCTTTCTGGGGTTGCGGGCTAGGACTAATAGCATCACTCAAGTATGGTCTCAGGCTTTGAGAATCCTCGAGTGGTCCCAAGCATCGCTTCAGTTCACTGTTTGATATGGCACTTGCTGCATTTGGGGCATACGACTCATAGTCAAGAACCGATGATGTTGGATGTACAATCACCGACGGCTTGCTACTTCCAAGCAAAAGCGAGCTGTCTTGGAAGACATCACTGCCATCGAAACTCTGAGGTAAATGCGCCCGCACGCATTGATTGGCGGAGACTGGTCGGTCGCTGTCCAGCAGCATCGACTGAGAAGAGACATTGACTGGTTGATCCGGTACAGAGTCCGTGGTTCTCTTCACCACTCGCTTGCCGTTTATTCTCAGACTCATCTGTGAGAAGTCCACCGCCTCCATGGGAGAACCCTTGCGCTTCCTATGCCGTACAACATGGACTGAGCGCGAGCCAGAAGTGCCCAGTCTCGTCCGATCACTCTCCGTTATCTTTCTCCGCTTCCCAAACCTTGCCTGTGACTCTGGAGTGGGGAATGCGATCTGGATTGGCCGTGCTGCGGCAACGGCGGCCCAATCGGGCTTTTTCAGGAGCTCGCGTCGGAGGCGGTCCAGACGCTGGCGGGGCTGCGAGTCTTCCTTGTCGTTGGAGGGTCTGTGGTGACTCTCGGTGACGGAGGCTGGAGAACCTTCCCTGCTACGCTTGTGCAATCTCATTATTAGCTGTCCTGCACGACCTCGTGCCGATGGTGGGATATACTCACCTCCCCCGGCGCCTGCCGAGGACAGTCCGCTGGTAGGTCGAGAAGCGCAGCTCCCGTAGCCATGGGGTTTGTGTTTGTGCTCTGCTTCTTGAACTTCTGCTTCCTGCTCTTTGCGTGAATAGCAGAATGACGTCGGAGACGTCCTCCGGTCCAGTTCATGGCTGATGGACTTCTTGCAGGTCAGCTAATGGGTTAGTGTTGACAAGGTGCTGTGATGTCAATAGGCCGCGGTCTCAATGGTAGAATGGTGGTGGCCGAGCCACCGCCGTCATGTGATGCCTGAAGAGGCAGGTTGTGCTCAATGTAACGAGTCAACTCTGTGGCCAATATGCACTGCACTGCAAGGCAAGGCCGACACACAGCGTCAATATATATTTCTCAAGTCATATGCAAGAGATCGCTACGTCCTCAGATGATGCTGTGCTTCAGCTGCGTCTGTAGTGAGATCGAGCCAACGAACATGCGCCGTGTCTACGCCATTGAGCATCTGGATATATTGTATCGTACCACGGACGGGGACAATTCAATTGAATCTCTCAATGGGAGGGCTGGCTCCGATTAGAGCCCGATGGAATAGACCGTGCCCTACTCCGGAGTCATTTCAAGTGCAAGCGCGATTGACAGCAACACCAAGAATTGAAGAATTGAAGGCAATGTCGCGGAGCATCCCAATCTCGAGCTGCTAAAATGTAGCGTTACCTCAAGAGGAATGGTCTTCGAATTACTAGTATTGCCGCCGTAGTCGCAACTTGGAAACAAGATCCAACCGGCTCGGCCCGGACAACGAACCATAGAAGCTGGAAAGCCACTCAGTGTCTGACTGTCTGACTAACCCATGACCGACCACTTTGGCACTTCCCCACGATTCAGTGCAAACCTCGCAAATCCACGTGATACTCGCTTGGTTCATAAGCCGCTTTCCCACACGCCAAAAATTTTTTCCTTTCCCTCTCAAACAACAGACAACCCTCGCGTTGTTTCAGCAGCCAACCTGCGCATGTCGCGCTGTCGCGCTGTCGCCTTGTCGTGCTGTCTGCATCCGACATGACAAGATCTGGACCTCCTGTCTTTATGTTGACAGGTCCACGAAACTGTCAGGTCGGATGCTGAAACAGGCTGTCCTGTCCTTGCCCTTTTTCCCCGTCGCCTAAATCGGCAACCATGCTCACAGATCAGCTGAAGGTAAGCAGACCATTTGTTTCTTTTTTCTCTCCTCTTGCCCCTCCTTTCGCATGGATGTTCGCTGGAGGGCCCTCGCGCCCTTGATGATGAACAACCTACCAATAAGCATAGTTCACCTGAGGTCTCGGACCGCTGAACGAAAACCGTATACCATCTTTCAATTTTATCTGATACACATCCATGCCTGCCTTGTTGCATTGTCATTTCCCGCCATTCTATTTGCTGGCCATTGCTGACATTGCCTGTTTTCAGACACAGATCCTGAGCGCTCCGTAAATAGGAATCCATGATCCGGAGTTCTCCCTCGGTATTCGTAATCAGCGGACTCCAGAAACAGGTTCTTTTCTTGAATATCTAATTTCATTCTAAGACAAGCAATTAAAATATGAAAATCATTTCACTAGATCCCGTCTAGTTCCCACTTGCCCGAAACTATCCGTAATTAGATGATGACATTGCTGCCCAACCTCCCGGCGCATCTGGAGACTGGTGCCAGATGCGACGATTTCTGCCTCCTATTCTCCTCGAAACCAGATCCTCGAGATCCATGCAGGTCCCTATTCATGCTGATGAAACGTAACACCTCATCGTCGGAGCTCTAGGTACTTTTGGGAAGGTGGGGTGTGGACGGAGTGAAGGGGTGAAAGGGTGAAGGGGGAGAAGTTGTCCGTGAGTCCGAGAGTTCTGTGACAGCGCTGTTTGCTTGCATGCGATGCAGGAGGAGAGTTCAGAACCCTGTTCCCCGAGAGGAGGAGGGGTCTTGACGTGTTGTTATCTCAGCCAGCCGATGGCAGGCCGAGAGTTGGTGAATTTCACGAGGGCAGGCGGGGGCTGAACCTGAGGGCTTTTGATGGCTTCTGACCGGCTCCTGATTGCTCCTGATTGCTTCTGATTACTTCTGATTGATGGTCAGGGGCGCTGCGTTAGTTTGTTAGTTCTGCACGCGACGGTCATTGCCTGCCATTGCCTGCCATTGCATCATGCTCAGTCTACGGGGCGAAATGCCAATCACGCCCATTGTGCCGCCTCACCGCTCCTTGGAAGGAATTGCCCGGGTGGTGCCGGTGCCAAATGATACATCCACTATCCCTTCATCCGCATCCACTTCCATCCAACCTTCGGCCACTCTCATCCACTCTCATCCACTCTCACTCATCCTCATCCACTTTCATCCATCGCGTTTCTCCCGCCCGGCCACGTCAAGCCGCTTCTCCACTAATTCATTGGTAGATAGTGCGCGAACAACACCACCTGGCGCTGCACCATAATCACCGCCATGTCTTGCAGGGTCAAATCATCGTCCGTTGCTCTCCCACTCTGGGAAGAATGAGGCAGTCCGCCTGCTGCATGAGCATGCAAAGCCCGGCACACGCTTGGACGGCAATTTCTCCTTTTCCCACCCCTCTCACACACACGACCCCCGCCCTGTCTCCTGAGCGAGAAAAAAAAGGATGCGATCCCATCGCTTCTTAAAGGCCCTCGATGCCCCTCCAGATGGAATCCTTCTCGACCTTTCCTATTTATCTCACACCAGACTCGAAGAAGAAACCCAACAGATTCCCACTCTAGATACCCAAACATCAGCGATACCCAACTCTTCTTCCACTTCTACTCTCGAGATACCACCCCACTTCATCACTCTTGTGCTCGATTTGTCACAGTCAAATCAGCTAGCTTCCTCTCTTCCACATCTTACTCGATTCCCAGGCCTCTTTTCTCTTGTCAGACAAGTTCCAGTCCGTGGATCTTGAAGGAAAAAACGCAGAATCAGTTCCTTGGCCCTGATACCAGCCTGATCTATCTTTCTGGAACCCAGTCCATATCCTGGATCGGACCTGCTTGCTTTGTTTGCTTTCTTTGCTCTCCCGGGCTTGTGTCTGAGCACAACGAATAACAGGTAGATCCCTCGTTCTTTGTTTCTTGTTTGCTTTTTTTTCTCCCCATGCGCTTGTTGCCTCTCGACCCGTTCTGGATCTCCGTCTCGCCTACTTTCGCCCCGTCGCATATCGCCCACTGGACTTCCTGGACTTTTAAACCCATCTGGCCTGTTTCGTCACAGAACGAACTTCATCCACTTGCCGTGGCTTGAATAAACATGCGTCACACAGCGGCCGCTGTGTGACTGGACACTCTTGAGTGTTGTTTAATGTTGCACACTCTTCTCGACACTTCTGGACCACTTTTCTGCTTCTGCCTGGAACCCCTGGATCTCTTCACACTAAGCCTGTGTGGAAGTTGGAATGCTGCCCTTGGATTTGACCGTCTTGGAATTGTTTGATGCTTCATGAACCCGTACCAGACTTGGATTCCTCCTTCTCCTGGATTAAGAATTGCCGCGACTTGGATTCACAATGTATAGCATGGCCTCAGGACTGACGCTTTGACCTGGATTGACAATAAGACAACAAATATTGGACCGTATCCTTCAGCCTCGATTTCACTTCGTCCCGTACCGTTTGTTGCTACCCTTGTAGTAATTGGACTCAAATGGATCATCGACCCTTGCACTCATGGCCCCATCGTTCACCTTCCGATCACTTCACTTAGGCCAATCATTTTTGGATATCGCGACCTGGTCAACTCACCTCCCCTTTGACCATCGGCCTCGTTTCAAACCGACTTTCAACCGCAAGATGGACCCATTCAGTACCTGGATCTCATTCTTTCTCTCACCCACCTGGTTGGTAGATCTTCACCTAACATTTACGAGTCTTCAATCTAACATGATCATAGGCCCTGGTCCATCATGGATTCCCAATGCACGATTGAATTTTTGCTTTTGTTGCTTCTCGTATCAAGCGAAGTTGGTGTACTGACTCAAAGTTGCTTTTTAGTGCTTGCCCCAACCTTCCAGCCAGTCTGGAACATACAATGACCCCTCAGATCAAGTCTGAACCACAGAACATGTCTTTGTCCCAGTCATCTATGCACCACATGGACCACATTTCCCAGTCAAGGCAATCACAAATGATCCCAGGACTCTCCAACATGGCCTCCAGAGGAATCCAGGATGATGAACTTTCGAGCCAGGACAATTTCTCTTTGTGTTCAAGTACCCACCACAGCCATGGAACTCCCAGTGACTTCAAGGGTTGGGCTCTGAGCGATGTGGATGCACTTGACAATGGTGCCATGTCCAAGCCTGAATCTCCCGAAGTCCAGATGTTGTCGTATTCATTCTCCCAACAGCTTCTGCCAACCACTGTTGGCCCCAATGATGTAATGTATCATCACGCCGGGTCCGATTTCTCAAGCATCCAGGATATGTCCGAACAGAATGACATGGACTTCACCCACGCACAAGAGTTCAACCACTACTCATCCCTGGTTGACTTCTCTGCTTTTGAAAATGATGTTTGTGGATCAAATGGTGCCCAGTCCTGCTCAACCGACGATGCTCTTTCCGTCGGCCAAAGCTCTCACACCGATGACAGCCACCTGGCTGCCAACGACGCATGGAACTCCATTGTCGCAGACTCGAGGAACTACCAAGGATCTCCCATGGACCAATATACCACTATGTTCCAGCCCGTCCCCGTCTCTCCCCCTCTCACTGAAGCAAGCAATGATGTTTCTGTTACCTCTTGCCACACTGGATACCCCACTTTCATGACCCACGAAGATGCCATGCTCAAGGATATCACTGCCACGCCCGTTGGAAGCCATGGAATCAACCTCGGAGACCCTCTGTTCCCCCTCACGCCTCCTCTGAGTGAACAGGACCCCAACCGGTTAGTCCCCTTTGAGTTTACATATTGACGGGTGTACTGACATGCAACAGAACCATCAGACCGACCAAGAGTGCTCGTAGACCTACTATTCAGACCTCACCGTCTCAACCTCAGGTGAAGCAGGATCCAGACTTCTTCCCCCCGTTGCCCGTCAAGGACACTCTTCGACAGAAATCCAAGGAAAGCGCCGAGCTGCGCAACCCACGGGATCACCCTTACTACTCCCTGCCTACCTTCAGTGATGGAAAGTACTACTGCCCGTATGCCAAGTCCGACAAGCCTTGCAACCACCCTCCCACTACCCAGAAGTGTGCTTACCAGTGAGTATCGCCGTCCTTGTTGGTGGCAGGAATGATATTGACCCAGAATTAGCAAATACCTGGACTCCCACCTCA